AGCTTGAGGGGTCATGGTTTAGGGAGTTCCAGAGAATTTGCTCTGGGGCTGCTGGACAAACGCAGTGCAGAGGTGATCGGCTGGCCTCATCTCAGCACCGGCTTCGGCCTCTGCAACTCCATCACCAGCACACAGCTAACCAAATGCCTGCTCGGGGCTCCGGGCCTCGGCTTATGTGACTCAGGAGCCTCATTTGCAATCACCATTAACCAGAAAAGCCGAATGACTGCTCAGTGCCTGCGGAGTCGAGTGTCATGCAATTTTCACAGAAACCCAAGGGCTGGAAGAGGCTGCAAGGGAAGCCTTTAGAATAAAGCTCACAGAGTGCGCACCACCAGCTTCGGGCCCTCCTTATCCTTTCCCCGCCCCTCTAAGGTGTTAATGAGCTGTGAAGCGGCCCAAGCCTGGGCAGCAGAAGAAAGATGGTGAAATTTCCAGGGGACTGGGAACGGGACCTCAGAGGCAGCTATGTCAATAAGAACTGAGGGACCCACATACCAGCTATTAAACAATCTTGTCGGAAGCCTTTAACTGCTTTACAATAGGTATTCAGGCTGAATGCTCCAAAGGCCACCTTTAAATCTCTAAAAACAATGTTTGGGTCTTTAGCTCTCACTCAGCTGCCTGCTGTGTGTGTCAGGCAGAGTTAGTGAAAGCCCCAGGGCGGGCACTGGATTTCCAAAGATCTTCCCATCATTGATGTTTGGCTGTGCCTCACCTCTCTCCTCGGTTCCTCCTTTGATGATGCCCCCCCTCCTCCATGCAGGCCCTCCACCCCATCCCCACCCTCACTCAACACATTCATCCACACAGGTTGGTCTTAGAATGGAAGGCTTGTGGATGCCTCAAGTAATGGTACTAAAATGCTTTAATTTTAGATTTAGAGTCTGTTAGGCACGTAAATTAAGCCATTGTTATCTCATATGCCCCTCCCGCCCCATGTGTGTGTCTGTGTGTGTTTCTGTCTGTAAGCCCAAGGTTAACGGGGTACAATAGAGAAGAGCTCCGGGATGGCTGGATGGAGGCATGAAGAGCCCCAGGGGAGCTGGGGAGGTTACACTCTCCGGTCTCGATGCCGGGGAGGGCACTGGGGGTCTCAGCAGTGATGTTGGCATGAGCAAGGGCCTTTTGGTAGTTTGTGAGAAAGCATTTTGCTAGTCTTCTTTCAGAAACTGGTTTATCAAAGGCTGTGGTTAAGAGGAGGAAGTCGCCCAGCCAGCGTCAGGTCAGCTACCATCTGTTGGGAAGCGCTGAGGATGGATCCAGGAGGGTTCTGCTGCCACTGCCAACCCTTTCCTGGGGAGGCCTGGGTGCAGGGACTGGCCAGCCCACCCCTCAAAGGGCACCTCTGGAGACAGGGCAGAAGAAGGGAGGTCTGCCCGGGGCAGGGCATTATTGAAGCAGCTAGTGCTGGTGGGAGAGCAGCCAGGAGAGAAAGGCTTTCTTGGTTTGGAAACAAGCAAAGGACAGGAGGGAGAAAGGAGTGCTGAATCAGGACCAGGAGCTGGAGCCCTCCCCAGGGCCAGCCTGAAGCCCTCTGGCCACACTGCAGCAGCCTCTGTGAATGAAGAAGCAGAGGGCAGCCAGCCAAGGACACTGGCTCCTTGGTGGCCACTTTTCACGGAGTGGGAAGAAGAAGTGGGGGGCATCGTCTGGAGCCCTAATCTGTGCAGGGAGCTACCTGACAGGCAGAGGCAGACCCAGGGAAACATGAAGTGTCACTTGTACTCCACGGAGAGGGCTCTGCTATGGATCATCCCATGCCTGATACATGCTTAAAGTGGAGGTTCCTCATGTTCCAGGCCAGCTACTCCAAATACCCCTTTGAATTAGAGTGGGCTTAAGGCTTTAACCAGGGTGTCTGCATTCCCAGGAAGCCTTCTGCTTTCCATTTAGAAGGAAAGGCATCAGCTTGTCTGAAGAAATCCCAGCTTACTGAGTAATCGCCACAATAAGATTGAGAATGAAGGTGACCCATAGAAGCACAGTAAATACATGATTTTCTCTGCTCAGTAAGTGAATTTTGATTTTAACTCAGCACTTGCCTCAGGTCCTAAAATACTGTGAGCATCCTCAGGAAAGCCTGGGATGGGACAAAGTTCAGAAATGCTCCCACAAAGAAAAATGCAGGCTTCCCAGCCCTCTTTATAGCTACATGCAACCTAGAAAATTGAAAGCAAGGTGGCAGTCTCTCTGTCCTTGGTCACCATTGCCTATACGAGCCTGTCATACAAAGTGCGGGAAAGCACCACAGATCAATAGCTATTCTGGGTTAACATTGCCACAGCTTTTTTCTTTTCTTCTAAAAAAGAATTTTTCCGCCTATGTGGATCACATCCAAGGGATATTTCTGTGGTCTGTCTATGGAAATTAATGCTTAGAAGGAGCACTTTTCTTTTGAGGTTTCATGCACTTTTGACTATAAGTGACAGGGGCAGGAGTGCTCCTGGAGAATTGTTCGTTTAAAAGCTCTGCAAGAAGCTCTTAGCCCTCAGGTTGGAGAAGCAGGTAAAACTTACCCGACGGGCCCCCGGACCCTGGATGAGCAAGCAGTGCTTGTCGAGAACTGCGCAGAGGCGGCTGGGCTGCAGAGGTCTCTTGGCCTGGCACGGTCTCTCTGAATCCTGTGTGCCCTTCTGCAGCCCCGGCAGCATTTGCAGCACTCAACTTGCTGTGTTTGCCTGAGGTGGCGCTCATCTGAGCAAAATCTCTAGACAGTTTTTTTTTTAAATGGGAAATGAAAAGCCAAATGAGAATGTATGTGAAAATGTGAGCCACAGAAATCAGCCTCTCAAAGCATATGCCGCCTATGTTACTGCTTACATGGTTTCTAAGTTGGCTGAAGGTTTAAAGTGACAACTTTTGAAATTCCTAATGGAACCCTACAAATTATGAGCAATAACATAATTTTTTTTTGTAGGAGAATGTTATAAAGCACATCCACATCTAGTATCTCTTTTCAGCCTCACAGAACCTTGGAGGAGGCAGAATAAACATTCGTATGTCCACGTGGGAGGTGAGGAAGGCCAGGCTCGGAGAGGTTGAGTCATTCGATGTCGCACAGCCGGTCAGAGCTGACCCAGGGACTCCAGCCCTGACTCCAGACTTGTGGGTCTGGGCAGCAGGACCACTTGTCAATATCCAGGCCAACATCACTGAAAAATATACCTAGATGCATTTCTCCCCACCCGACACCAAGATCTGAGCAGCCCGCCCCTCCTTCATTGTCAGCTGCAGTCAGTGAACCATACAAATTCAAACTTCGGAAATGCTAAGTCTCATAAACAATTTTAAAGGTATCAAAATGCAAAACAGGAGTAAACAAAATTTCTTGCCACAGGGAACTAACTAATATAAAGTGACAAAATAATGGGAGTCTCAGATGAGGTCTCAAAAGTGGCCATAAAATGGAATTCAGAATCATATTTTAATGTGTACACCATACACTCGCTTTGCCAAGGACGACTGGTGGTGAATTCTCATTTATAAAACTAAGACTTGAAAGCAAAAAGAAATAGTGGAATGAGGGGGAAGAGGGGGACGCAGAGGGAGCGAGAGAGCGAGACTGGTGAAGTGAGATGGTGTAGTCACAGCTAGGGGACCGCAGAAAGCCAGCGCCTAGTTAGAGTGCACCACAGCGGTCCCAGAGCAGTCCATCACCCCTCCACCCAGGACCGGCCTTGGCATGTGGCCCTGGGGACACCAAGCACCTGTCCCTCCTAGGAACTTGCAGGAATTGATACGGAGCACTTGTCAGCGGCGACCTGCAGGGCTCCGGCTGAGGAGAGGCTGACTATAGCAGTTTATAAAGTGATGAGCAACAAGCAACACTCTTCCTGCCCTGCAGCAGTGGCCAGAATGACAGATCCATCTTCACGGACACTGTTCTGGCACTCATGCTGCGAACATGCCCTTCCCCCCATACTCAGCCCTGGGTATAGTGAGGAGGACAGGAAAGCAACTCCTAAGAAGTCGTCATCTATTTTAGGACAGAGCCAAGGTGGCTCAGTTTCCCATTTGGGGAGTTCAGCGCCCCCGCCCTGCCTTTCCCTCTTCCCCACCACCCCTAGCCAGTGGCTCTTCATTCATTTCCCCATCAGTCTTGGCTGTGATGTGTACCCGTCCTCCCGGATCCCATCTTTTGGCTGTTCTCTTAAAGGGCATTGACCTGAACGCACAAACGCAGAGGCAGCGGCGCCAGACTCGCAGTCGGCGGCGGCCACAGGCAACACAACGGCGCAGCCGCCTGCGGTGACTCAGGCAGCAGCAGCTCCGAACCGGTTTCATTATCACACAATTGAACCAAATCTGCCTCCTCCTGTCCTCAGTGCATGCGGGCGCCTCCAGCGCGCAGGAACGAAAGAAGACAAACTCTACCGACGTATCTCTCTCTCTCTCTCTCTTTCTCTCTCTCTCTCTTTCTCTCTCTCTCTCTCTCACACACACACACACACCCGAGCCTGAGAACAAGGGAAAACACTTTGCAGAAAGAGCCCCTTCACCAACTCCCAGGTCCCGTCTGGGGGGTCCTGCCCCGCGTAGCTACTTCAGCGTTAGCCAAAAGGGGCTTCCAAAATCCATGTGCTTGCCTGTCTTTCCAAGCACACGGGACAGACTGCAATTTCGGTAACTTTTCAAATCCTGTCTCCTGAACACTTGCCCACAAATACTCGGGAAAGAGAGAGGGACGCCCCTTACTCCCCACCCCCTCACTTCTGACCCCCACCCTACTCTTAGGCTGACAGCTTGAGGGAAAGAAGCTAGCCTATCACTCCAGCTGTTGTTGCCAGTCAGGAAACAACACGCTGTCACAGAGAGCCAAGCTACCTAGAGAGAGAGAAGGAGCGAGGCAACCTCTCCGGGTACCAAACACCGTCCTCGCATCAGCGAGCGAGCCTTTGCCAGGAGCTCCAAGTGTTCACGAGAGGGTCCCTGAGGCCGCCCGGAGAGAGGACTTGAACCCAAGCAGCGTGAATATAAAACGACAGAGAGCGACTCACCTTTAGGTTGTGCGTGGGGTTTACGACGCAGACAAGTTGCCCAGCAGCAGAGAAAACCCGTTTAGCTTTGTAGTGCTGAAAGCGGAGGTGAATGAGATCTAACACAGCCCCAAAGCACTGGGTGAAGAAAAGCATCACAACTTTTGGGGGGTTGTTGGCACAGGAAGCAGCGGAGGAAGCTGTGAGTCCTTGGGCTCTGGAAGGAGCGCAGCCTCTGAAACACTCCGCTCCAGCCTGGCTTAGCATGCCTTCATATTCATCATCAAAATAAGACGGTTAGAATCTTGCAGCAGTGAGGCGGCCAATCAAAAGGACAGAAATGTTATCCTTGAGGTGCAGAGACAGCCAATAACAAATGCCTCCCCTACCGAAACTCCCTGATGAATTGAGCCTGGCGGAGAATGTATTATTGAACATTACCATAGATCAGCACATTGCATTTATCTTGTGATTACAGCCAACCATACATAATGCTGGGGAGATAGGCTGACAAAATTGATTGCTTAATGTGTCTCCATTTATTAATTGACTTAATTTAACATGAGAGCCTTTCTTAACGCGCTGGCAAAAACGTAAAGCATTTGAACGGCCAAATAGTAAAACACCCTGCTCCAAAGCAGGCAGATGGATAACGCAGATCGGGGCTCGACTCGCCAGAGCTGCTTGGGAGAAAATCAAATATTACAAGACTCCTCCGATTCCAGATAAGGATTTGGCAGCAGCAGAAACATGCATCTTTCAATCTTGCGCTCTGACTCTCTCTGCCATTTGGATTTCAGCCTCTTGATAAATCTTACTCTCAACTCTTTATCAAAGAAAAGAATCCCTAAAAAATAAATGCAGTTGGAGTTGGGGGGGAAATATATATATATATATCCATAATACTGTAATTACTGAAGCCTGAAAATATTAAAGCATAAAAATTGCACAGAGAGTGCTTCTAAAAATAATGAAATCCCTGATGCATGAATGCACACACAGAAAAACCTACACAGAGAGGAAAGTGGCTTGTAAATCAGCAAAATAATTACAGATGCTGAGGGCCTTTGCTTGTCATTCATTTGCATATTGGTGGGCAGCAAATTGCTAATTAACCACTAGATTGTTGGAGACATTAAAATAGAGGTTAAGAGCTCACATACCGCATCATTTGCTTGTCTCTTTGAGCGCCAGCGGCACATGTCTGTGCTGGAGCAGCCAGAGGGCATTCTAGTCCTCAGACTGCACTTCTTCTCTCTCCAGAATGGGGCTGGTGGGGGCGCTACCCCCCCCCCCCGCCCCCCCACTGGAAGAAAGGCTCCTGAGCAAACAAGAAGAGACTTAGGGTTTCTGGGGACAAGATCTGGTGGCTTAGCCAGTCTTTGCAACTAAAGCAGGAGAGTTGAGTGTGTTGTGTCTCCTCTCTTCTTTGACTGTTTCTCTGTTTAGGAGTCAGCCCAGACCCAGTGTGCTCGGGGGAGGATCAGCCTTGTGTGTAAATGGCATCCAGTGTGTGAGCCCATTGCTCCTTCCTTCCTCTGTCTCTGTTCTGGCTACAGGGCTTGGGTTGTAATGTATGCAAAGCATACACACCTACGTCTGTGACCTGGTCAGGCAGGTGAACTAACAACAGATAAAAATATAGGGGAAAAAATACACAGGTTTACTGAAACCCGGACAAAGCCTAGGTGTTAAGATTTAACTTGAATTTAAAACCAAACCTATGTTTTAAGAAACAAATAAGCCAAGCACCAATTAAAATGGAAACTTTGTACTTTCTAAAATAATTGCACTGGTACAAAACTAGAAGATGACAACATTTGAACCAGTTAGAACTTTATCAGTGTGATACTTTTGTAGAATATGAATCCCTGGACCCATTTGTTACAGTCATGTGTCACTTAATGACAGGATATATTCTGAGAAATGCATTGTTAGGCGATTTTGTTGTTGTGTAAACATCATAGCGTGTACTTACACAAATCTAGATGGTATAGCCTGCTACACTCCTGGGCTATACGGTACTAATCTTATGGGACCACCATCGTATCTGTGGTCTGTTGGTGACCAAAATGTCATCACGCAGTGCATGACTGTATATGGTTCGTAAATAAGGGTTACTGGCCGGCAATACTAGAACTCACTTTCTAAAGTTTTCATTTTCCAGAACAGGCTTTCGGCTGTTCAGCAGGAAAACATTCAGTATTGTTTTATTGCTTTTCTTTTTTTTAAAAATAAAAGTGAGCATATACTCCCATATATTCCTTAAAGACACAAATTCATACTTCAGAAAGGTCTAAACTTCCCCTTTCTACATCTTTTGTTAGAATAGAACTGTTGTGTTCTTTCTCCCTTTGTGTAACCGTCCCTCACCTGTGACATGGGGATAATAGAAATTTATTTCTCTCTAGCTCACTGTGAAGATGGAGATGATGTATCTGAAGTACTCAGCACAGTGCCTGGTTCAAAGCAGCTTCTCAGTACTTGAGGCCGCTGAGTAGCTTTGGCAGAACAATGAGTATTTGGCAGCATGTTTTTTCTTCCTGTTCCATGAAATATTTTTCCCCACGGATTTGCGCCCTACCATCAAGGGCCACTCAAGCAGAGGGCATGGTAAGAGATGACATGGCTCCTGCCATGTCCTTAAGGTAGCTGTCCTGGTCCTACCTAGAGACCAGGCCTGGGAGTGAGGGCTGACGGGTTAAGGGGTGCTCATTGACATCAGCAGTGAGAACAGCACCACAGACCTGCTATTAGGGTGCTTTTCCTTGGTCCCAGACTTGACCCCTTGCTCTAACTCTCTACCCCAAAACTGGTTTACATTACTCTATTTCAGGATGTTAGGCACACCCATCTGTTGTCAGAAACAGTCCTCAAAATAATCATCCATTGGGAAGTGTCTGGAGCTAACCCTAATAATAGATGCTCATATTTAATGTCCCCAAAATAGAGTGGCACAAACTAGCCTTCAGGTAGAGATTAACGGCTGTGTCACCTCTTACCACTAAGTTGGCCCCTCTGCAAAAGCCATACCAATCCCCTCATGCCACACCGTGATGCCTAGGGCTCCCCTTTCACCTCGGGAGCAACCAGATTTACATTTTATCTGGGCTAGAAAGTCTCTGAGATTGGTAATCAGATAAATTTGGATTCAAACCCTACATTGCTACTTACTGTTACTTTGGGCAAATTACTTAACCTCACTGACACTTAGTTTTGTTGTCTATAAAATGAAGCTAAGAATAACTCCCTTGAAAAGTAGTTTAAAGATTAAATGAGATAATATAGGTAAAACTGCCAGCCCAATATCTGGTTTTCACAATAACTTTAATGAGAAGTTATTATCATCATTATCATTATCATCTTCTCATCAAAAATATTTTTGTCCAAGTTGACATGAATGCTGATGAGTGTGTGGAGCAAGCAAAACTCTCATGCACTGCTGGAAACCACTTTGCAAAAATGTTTGGGAGCATTTGCTAAAACTAAACATATGCACGTTCCAATCCCCAGAAAACCCACTCCATACACCCAACAAGGATGTGAGCATGGGCTCATCAAAGACTGGTGCTAGGATTTTCATAGCAACATGTTCATAATGGTTAAAAACTGGAAACATTCTAACTATCTATCAATGATAAAATATAAATCATATTATTTTTCCTCCTTTTGTTAAATACTACATAAAAATGAAAAAGAATGAACTATTGCTACATGCAACAGTGCAATAATGGGGATGTATCTCACAGATATAATTCTAAAGTAGAGAAGCCAGACACAAAAGAAAACATGTTGTGTGATTCCATGTATGTGAAGTTCAAGAACACAGAAAAGGTCGTCTGTAGTCTGGGAAATCTGGAGACTAGTAACCTTGACAAGGGATTATGACTGAAGGGGACATGAGGTAGGTTTCAGAAAGCTAGATGTAGTCTGTTTCTTGATCTGTGTTCTAGTTTCATGAATGTTATGGGTTGAATTGTTTTCCTCAAAAAAGATATGCTGAAGCCTTAACCCCCAGTACCTCAGAATGTAACCTTATTTGGAAATAGGGTCATTACAGGGGTAATCAAATGAAAATGAGGTCATTAGTGTGAGCTCTAATCCAATACGACTGATGTCTTTATAAAAAAGGGGGAATTTTGGCACAGAGACATGCACACAGGGAGAATGCCATGTGAACACGAAGGCAGAGATGGGGGCAATACATCTGCAAGTCAAGGACACTAAAGATGACCAGCAAACCACCAGAAGAAGGAAAACCAGGAGAAGGCGTGGAGCAGATTCTCCTTCACAGCCTTCAGAAGGGCCAAGGCTGCTGACACCTTGATCTCAGACCTCTAGCCGCCAGAACTATGAGAAAATAGATTTCTGTTGTTTAAACCACCCAGTTTGTGGTACTTTTTTATGGCAGGCCTAGCAAACTAATACAATGACTATATCCATTTTGTGGAAATCTATCAGGCTGTGAACTTGTGATCAGTGCGTTTTTCTGTGTTTAAGATATATGCCTCAAATAATACTAAAATAACATGTGGATGAGCACATAATTGAATTTGGAAATAGTGAAGCTCTTCATAAAGATTTAAAAAGTCTATTGAAGTAATAACAAAGAGAAATACTTGCTTACATAAAATGTTAAACTCTGTATGTCAAAATAATGTCTAACGACTGAAATTGAAAAAAACCCCAAATATTGAAGGATATATTTGCAGCAATTATGACAACAAAAGATTTGTATTCCTAATAAAGAACTCTTGGATATGCATTTTAAAGAACTAAAATTATATAGAAAAATAGACCAAAGATATAAACAGAGTACACAGAAGGAGAAATAAAAAGATTAATAAATAAATGAAAAATGTTCAACAGAACTAGAAATCAAAGAATACAAATTAAAACAAAATAGCATCTTTTACTTGTCAAATTGGCACTTTTTATTTTTCAACAATAATATCCAGTGCTCATGAATCTGCTATGAAACTGACATTCTTATCTACTGCTGATATGAATAATAATAACAAATGTTTAAATGTTTAAAATAGTAATAGCAAACATTTAGCTCTGTGTGAAATACTTGGCCTATGTGCTCAAGCAGATAGGTAGTCAAATATTATATTTTCCTCTTCAACTATGACCCCATGAGATAAGTATGATTTTGTTCATTTCCCGACGAGGAAGCTGTGACTCAGGAAAGTTAACTTGTCCAGGGTCACTCAACTAGTAAATGGTAGAGTTTGAACTCAGATCTTTCCAGTGCCAGATACTAAGATTTACTACCTCTGAGTGTAAACTTGTTGTATTCTTTCCTTGAAAACAATTTGACAATATTCATGAACTGCCTAAAAATGTTCATAAATTTTGACCTACTAACTAAATTTCTAGGAATCTGTTCTTTTGATGTAACCAGAAATGTCATCAGATATTTAAGTACCAGGATGTTCATTGTTGTATCATTTGTACTATTAGAAAAAATAGAATTTATGGGTCCACAATAGAAGTAGGCTTAAATAATTTAAGGTACATCTATCCACAATATGGAATAAATTATAGCTATAAAAATATGTTTCTGGAAAAAACTTAGATACATGTATAAAGCTATTCATTGAAGCACTATTTGCAATAGTCAAACACTAGAGACCTCCACATTATCCCTCTGTAGGGGACTGGTTGAATAAACTATATACATCATATAATGGTGACGTATATTTACGTCATATAATTAGCCATAAAAGGAAATGACAATTATCTCCAAATACTGCTATAAGATGAATTCAGGGTATATTGGTAGATAAAGAAATGTGAGGAACAGCGTGCATAACATGCAAATATTTATCTTAGAATGAGGGGTATGTATTCATTTGTTATTTATATTTTTAAAATAGAAAAATAAATAAAAAACCAAAAACAAAGTTACTTATCGGGAAGAAGGTGGAAGGACAGATATGAAGCTAGACTTCTCTGAATACCCTTTGTTCTAGGGTTTGACTTTGAAACCTTGAAATTATTTTAAAAATTATAAAATAAACAAACAAGAAATCCCCAAAAGTCAAAAGCATAAAAACAAATCAACTGTTTTTCAAATTGGTGGCATAGTTACATAGAAAGGACAATTTTAAGTGACTTTTGGAACATAATAATTTGACTATAAATCTTTAGTAAGATGTATTCCAAGGACGAAAAGAAGTTCAAAAAATTTAACT